CTAAAATTTAATCCTTTGATTACTGGAAAATCCTGATTCCCTAGTTTGAAGTTATCACGACTAAGGTTCGGTGGTAGATCTTATACCAGTAATGCACCACAAAAAGGTGATCTCCCAATGTTACTGGTTACTGGAACGAACTCATCAAGTTTAGCCAATTGAACCTGAATGCTGCCTGACATGTGTTGATGTAGAAGTCCAAATTGTAGACAAAGCTTGACGAAGATCAACATGAACTAGTCCGGTTTGTGGTAGTTACGCGGAATGTCTTCCATCGATTTGAGTTGATGTATGTAGTTGATTTTTGATCGTGGCCAATAGTCAGGTTCAACGCTGTGACTCAACGAATGATGGGACGCCTCGTGGAAGTTCTACTTGGCTTCTGAACAGCTTCTCAGCTGCAAATAATTGGCAAGCCTTTTCGTGGCCATCGCTGCAACTCAACGAATGATAGAACTAATGATGGGACGCCTCGTGGAAGTTGTACTTGGCTTCGGAACAGCTTATCAGTGGCAAATAATAGGGACTGAGGAACTAGAAATTGTCCCCTGGGCCTGGTTTTGGCCGGATCAGCAACCGATTATAGATAAAAAAAAACTCCACGGAAAAAAAACAAACGTCAGGTTCGATCACACGCACAACCTACTCCAAATACACAAAACAGAAACCGTCATGAAGCTAAAAGTGCATTATAAAACAGATTCTTAAGCCTAACACGGGAGATATTAAAATCAAAGCAGCTATAACATATGTTGAAAATCTTGCACATGCTAGTTAACGGCTCATTGGCACCGTAGTTTGTGCGACAAGCCGGGATGTTAAATAAAAAACAATGAGAACGTAAATTTACATTCAACTGCTGTAGAAGTGAGCCGCAATCAATGTCCAATCGTAGGAGATCTGTGATAAAGGCAGCCTTAGAGACGCCACGGTGAGCGCTACGTTCGTGGGTAGAGATAGAGATACTATCCAATGATAGGTTAGAATATGATAATGCATATGGCTAATTTTGGTGCCTGCAAATGACCCAAGATTAAAGGGACTATAATAAAAATATATATATATTTTTCTAAAATAGGGTATTTTAACGAGGGGCCTGACTCTATTCTCGATACATGAAAGATTCCGTTTTGCTGTGCTGAGCTGCGCGCACTCTGAGTAGAAGAAGATTAACAGGGTGTCTACTCAATCCAAGGAATCAAATTCCCTGAGTTTTCCAGGTTTTTCCAGGTCGGATGAAAAAAATTCCAGGTGCATACAAATTATACACATTATTATTTTATCGAACCCCCCTGTTTGCTGGTGTTCACACTGCTTGCACAAGTCGAAAGAACTATCAATTTAGATTTCAAAACAAACCTGTATTAGGAATCAAAAGTTAATACTTCCATCATGAATTACCGGAAAATTGCTCTAGTTTCGGCAGACGTATTTGCTTTTATTATTTTAAATAAAATGAGAAAGAGAAGGTGAACTTTGTGGAGTAGGAAATGGTTGCTCAGGAGGAACACCGGCAGGGATTTGGCTCATCTTGTCCATCAAGAGCTGCGATATGAAGATGAAAATAGATTTCAAAACTTCGCCAGGATGTCGATACCAACTTTAGACAAGCTAGTGGGAAAAGTTCTCACTAGATATACATGATTCCTTGAGTTCTGAAAATTTCTGTTAACAACTCAATTCTGCAAGGTCTTCAAACCTTCTGACGTCCCTGAAGTTTTGTTTCTGTTCTCCGGTAAAATTTCCTTAAAAATCAACAATCTTTCCTGACAATCTGCAAATGTCTCGGTAATTCTACAGATTTCTTTGAAGTTCTGTGTGTTCTTCAGAAGTTCAGCAAATTTTCCTAAAAACCTACAAAGTTCCTGAATCCCTGAAGATTTGAGATCCTTGAAGATCAACAATTATCTCTCATGTTCACAACATTTCCAATAATCTACAAACTTCTCGAAAGTTCTGTAATTTTCTCTGCAGATTTTCATGATTCAATGAATATCTGCAAATATCTCTGAACATCTATACAATTTTTCAAAGAATTAAAAGATTATCTAGAAATTTTTGAACTTTCCGGAAGTTTTAGGAAGTATTCTGAAATTTTTCTAATTTTTCTGAAGCTGTGCATATATCTCTAAAGATCAGCGAACTTACCTAAAGTTCTGTGAATGTCTTTCAAAATCCAAGAACCGCAGTAAAATTCTGAAATTTTATTATTTTTTATTAAATAAATTTATTTAATTTATTTATTTCTAAAGTTATTTAAATTTCTTTGTGGAGTCTTCATCTAAAGATCGGCGAACTTCCCGAAGATCTGCGAGTTTTGCTGAAGTTTTGCAATTTTTTTCTAAAAACGTACGAATTTTCTGACGTTCTACAGACTTCTCTTAAGGTCTACGGACTTCTCTGAAGTTCTTTAGATTTATCTATTTCCGACTTCCATGAAGTTCTGCAAAATATTGTACTTTTGTACTTCGCTGCGATTTGTTTTTGGAATTGAGGTGCTTTTCTGACATTTAACGAATTTTTATGAAGATCTCACATTTGTGTGAAACTGTGAAACTTTCCGTCAAATTCCTGCAAATATCTTCAAAGTTCTGTAAAGTTGTCTTAAGCTCCGTAGCTCTATTCCCAAGATCTACAAAAAAAACTTGAGGCTCCATCAATTTCTCAGTAGATCTGCAAACTTCTCTGATGTTTTGTAAATTCCTGTAGGGTTACCCTGAAGATTTGAAAATTTCCTTGAAGATTACCTAAAGTTGTCAAAATTTATCAGAAAATATTTGAGCTTCCTTGAAGTTTTAAATGTCTCTCTCAAGATCTACAAATTTTCCTGAAATCGTGTAAATATTTTTTTTTAATCCCTGAATTTCTGCAATTTTTACTGAAGATCCATTAACATTTCTGAGATTCTTGTGATTTCTTCAGAAGTCCTGTGATTTTTTTCAAAGTTCTGTAGCTTTGTTCTGAAGATCTACGAACTTTTGTGATGTTGAATAATGTTTCGAGGATCTCCAAACTTCTGTGAAATACTTTATATTTCACTGTAGATTCTTGGACTTGTCTGAAGTTTTGCGAATTTCCCTGAAGATTTGTAAAATTTCGCTTATAGTTTTACAAATTGATTTGAAATTATTTTTGCTTGCTTGAAGTTTTGAAAAATTCTTTGAACATTTATCTGAAGATCTACGACCTCTCTTGTGATTTTGTTTTTATGAATTTCTGTTAATAACTTTTAATTTGTTTGTAGTTCTGTTCTCAAGATCTACGAACTACCCTGAAGCTCAACAAATTTCTCAGTAGATCTCCGACCCTCTCTGAAGCTCAAAAACAAATTCTATGTTGGGTCTCAGACCTGCTGTCTGGTATGTTTATTGTTATACAATACATGCTTCGTATGCTTCCTTTTGACGGTTGCCAGTCTCTCTTTTTCGGCTGTTTCCTTTTACGATGATTTTGTTCCTTCACATACAAATCAGCGAAGAGCGAGCGTGACAAGACTCTCTGAATGAACTTGTCTCATTCGCACACGTTGTCTTAGCTGTCAGATGCTTGTCAAGTTCAGTGTCCTTAAGATACGTTTCAAGAAACTGAACGAAAAACTTCTTTTGAATTACGAATGAAGTGATAATTGGAAAATTCCCTGAGTGGAACCAAAATTCCCTGAATATTCCAGGTTTTTCCAGAAAAAAATAAATGCCCTGTAAATTCCCGGTTTTCCAGGTTTCTCCAGGTAGTAGACACCCTGATTAATGAACATTTTGAAGAATTCCTGCAAACATGAACAACGATGCAAGTACAGTGAACCGGGAAATCCGGAAAATAACCGGGAGTAGATAGAAAGAAGATTTATCACGATTTTGAAGATTTCATGCAAAAAGATGATGCGCGATGCAAGTTGATGCGAGAAATGAAAGAAGATTGTTCGAAGATTTATTCGTTAGTGTGAGATTTTTGGAGCATCTAGAATTGAAATTTAGATGTGTCACCCACCTCGATTATCCTATGTACGATTCAAAATCAAAGTTAGCATAAAACTTTTATAAAAAATTCCATTGTATAAATCAAACCCTTGGATTCTTGATCATAATTATCATGGGATTCTTCTTAAAATTACATGTAAGCTCTCCTCGTAATTACCTCAGAATTCTTTTTGAAATTCCTTTGAAACTCTCCCAATAATTTCTTCGAATCACTTGAAACTATTCTGAAAACTCGATTTCATTGCATTTTAAATTATTTATTTTCTTTGTACAATAATCAAAACTATTCCCAGGAACCCTTCGAAAACCTCTGGAATTTTCCTCCTTTCTTTAAAACCTGTAAATTTTTCTGATGTCCTGGAAAACCCTGTAAAAGGCAGGGAATTTAATTTAGGAAAATGAGCAGACACTGTATAGGACTTCAGCCAGGCAATAATCATTTGATCTCACGTCGATGTTTTGGTTTAGTGTTCGGTTTAGTGTGGGTGGCCACTAGACTGATGCAAATTTTTTGGCCCTGATTAGCCTCCCAAAATTTGAACTCATTTGGTAAGAAACTGTCTTGGCGTAAACCATTTGAAGTTTATATGGAAATTACTATGGAAAATCTAAACTTTTTGTTCATTGTCTTTTAGTCAATTTCCAAATAGCACTGTTAAAAAGTTCTGTAGCTATTCTTATGGGAAATTTTTGGAAGCTAATCGCGACCCAATTTGGAACCGTTTGAGCAATATGGAGGGAAAATTTAAAATTTTGCATCAGTCTAGTGGCCACGTACAGGTTCAATCGGTTATTTACCAACCTCATTTGAAAGTAGAGACCGTAACTCAATCATGAAAACTGATCACCACATCATGTCAACAATCGATACACTTTTTTTCAGACTGGGTGTTATGACTGTTAATGATTAGGCTAGTCGAATAAAACATCACGCCATCTGTGATCACGCGCTCCAAATAACATACCAAAAATATGACCCCACTGCATCAAGCGTAGCAGCTATTAACGATTCCTGTTTTTCAGATTGTCCACCGAACCGCTGGGGATCCGATTGCAACCAGAAGTGTCAGTGCAAGAACAATTCCACGTGCAATGCTCAGGACGGGAGCTGTGCCTGCCAGAAAGGGTACACCGGCGATCGGTGCGAATATCAATGTCCATCGGACCGTTACGGACAGGATTGTGCCGAAATTTGCCAATGCCAGAACGGTGGCAAATGCGATCCGGTTTCCGGCGAGTGCTACTGCGCGCCTGGTTTTGCGGGGCCTTTGTGAGTGTTGATAATTGGTTGCATGTGATTCGGGTTTGGCATGCTAATTAAGATTTTGGTTTGTTGTTTTTCTAGATGTGCAGAAAGGTGTCCAGAGGGTAAGCACGGAGAGCAGTGTCGTTCGGATTGTCGCTGCCAGAATGGTGGAAGCTGCGATTCACAGACGGGTGAGTGTATTTGTCCGGCCGGTTATACCGGATCGGTATGTGCTAATCGCTGCCAGGGCCAACGGTATGGCCTACGGTGCGAGCAGAAGTGTGAGTGCTTCAACGGAGCGGATTGTAATCACACGACAGGGGAGTGTATGTGCGCACCTGGATTTATGGGTCCCAAATGTTTGGACTCGTGCCCGGGCAACACGTATGGATATAACTGCACAGAGACGTGTCGGTGTTTGAATGGAGCCATATGCGATTCGGCCACCGGGAAGTGTTCCTGCGCTGCCGGTTGGATGGGAGCGGACTGTGGGTTGAGGATTTGTCCGGATGATCGATTCGGAGGGAACTGTACCGGTCAATGCGAGTGCGATGTAAATAATACCAAGATGTAGGTTCTGCTTTCGGGGGATTTTGTTTTGGTAGCCTTTTTTGATTTTCGATTTTTGTTTGTTACATTTTTATGTTAATTTGGTGACCAAAGGTGCCATCCATGGACCGGAAAGTGTCTATGTAATCCAGGTTGGAGTAGCACTCTGTGTGACAGGCCATGCCCATTCTTGCGATACGGAGAAGGTTGCTCGATCCAGTGCAACTGCAAGAATAATTCGCCATGCAACCATATCGACGGTATGGGTTCTTTCTTCTTCTTTCTATTTGTTTGTGTTGTCTGGCTTGGTTTAGTTTTCTATTTTGTCTGAATTTCTAAACCCTTTTCCTCAATAGGAACGTGTAACTGCATTGCCGGTTACAAAGGCGACAATTGCGAGGAACAATGCAGCAATGGAACTTATGGTCAAAACTGTAGTCAAACGTGTGAATGCATGAATGGTGCTACGTGTTCCCCGGAGAGTGGTCAGTGCTTCTGTACGCCCGGTTGGCAAGGCATCCGCTGCGATCGACCCTGTGATACGCACCACTTTGGAAAGGATTGTACCGAGCGGTGCAATTGTACGAATAACGGTGTCTGCAATCCGGTCAACGGTCAATGTACATGCCCGGCTGGATGGTCCGGAGAACGGTGTGACAAGAAGTGCGAATCGGGTCGGTTTGGACAGAATTGTTCGCAGAGCTGCGATTGCAGCTTGGAACATACACTGGCTTGCAATGTTACCACGGGAAAATGTATCTGCAAGGCTGACTGGGGTGGTGAGTTGAGGCCTTCCACACTTGCTCTTCCCAAAAATTGCACCCTTATACTAACTGGATGCTTTCCCTTCGATTATTCCTATTTATCGCCTTACTAACAATCTGGGTTTGGATGTTGTCCGTAAAGAATCATTTGGTATAAAGATTTCCGATTGAAGCACTTTGCAATTGGTACCCATAAGAACACCGAAATGAATCATAGCACATCATTATGCGATATTTTGAACTTGTTTGAAATAGTATCCTAATCATATTTTTTTTCCCACTCAGGTGTACGCTGCGAGAGCCGCTGCCCATTGGGATACTACGGAGAGTCATGCAACGAAATATGTACCTGCCACAACAATTCCTCCTGCGATCCTATCACCGGGGATTGCATTTGCTCTCGCGGTTGGACTGGTCCGACTTGTAACGAACCTTGCCCCGATGGATTCTTCGGTCATGGCTGCAAGGAACAATGTCCGGTTTCAAACACAACGTGCGATCACATTACTGGAAAGTATTCTTGCCGACCGGGTTATATAGGTACCACCTGTGAGCATCCATGTCCTTCCGGTACGTATGGCAACGAATGTCGTCACAATTGTACCTGCAAGAATGGTGGAGAGTGTTCTCATGAAACGGGAACGTGTCAGTGTCCACCCGGCTGGACCGGTGCCAATTGTGAAGAGGTTTGTCCGAACGGATTTTACGGAGTGAACTGCAATCAAAAGTGTAACTGCAGAAACAAAGCCAAGTGCCGGAAGAATGATGGACAGTGCATTTGCGATCCGGGTTGGATGGGTAATCGATGTGACGAGGTGTGTCCGGAAGGGTTCTACGGAAACCATTGTATGGAGTCGTGTAATTGCCCACCGGGTAACTATGCCTGCCATGCGGCCAGAGGATGCGTTTGCAGCGTGGGGTATTACGGAGAAAAGTGCGACAAATCTCGCGCGGAAGCTAAGGTCCAGCCGACGGAAGAGAGTAAGTAGCTTTTGTTTTGCTAATATTTTTTTACTGGAATATTGAATTTCTATATTTATAATACGGTACAAACGATCACTTGGGTGGTTCAACAGTAAAGGTCGATCTACTGTTGGAAACTACCACATTATACTTTGATTGGAAATTACAATCCGAAGACGGCGGCCTTCTGGAAGCGGATCCGACTTCTGAGGGAGAAGATTTTGGTCAACCTTTGGATGATTACATTCATTTGTCGGATGAACCACACAATGAAACAGAGTCTGATGGCGTCCAAGAGTACGAAACTATCACTCAGATAGTAGTTCAGAAGTCTGATAAAGGTGTTGAAAATACCACTCTTCATGTCGAGTGGAAAATGCTATCCGAAGATGATGGTTTCTTGGGCACAGATCCCACCCAAGAAGGGAAAGATTATGGTTACCCGTTGGATGATTACATTCATCTGAAAGACGAACCGCATTATGATTCCGATGTTCATACCATTCCTATAACTGGTACTCCTGCCCTTAACCAGGCAGAAGCCGGCTGGGATGCTGCTACCACTCCGCAATTTGATTGGAAAATGCAATCTGAAGATGGTATATTCCTAGTTACCGATCCGACTCTGAACGGAGAGGATTTCGGTCACCCTCTAGACGATTACATTCATTTACAAGATGAACCACATGTCGACAGTCAAATCATACCGACAACTACACGTTCATCACACCAAACAGATGTCAATCAAGATACCACTACCTTGAAATTTGATTGGAAAATGCAATCTGAAGATGGTAGTTTCCTAGGTAACGATCCAACTCCGGAAGGAGAAGATTTCGGTCACCCACTAGACGATTATATCCATTTACCAGATGAACCGCACAACGACAGTGTAACTACGCGCTCATCTACTCAGACAAAAATCTATCAGGATCAGGATGCGACAATGCAATCTGAAGATGATGGTTTCTTGCCTGCTAATCCTTCTCCGGAAGAGGAACACTTTGGTCACCCACTGGACGATTATATTCACTTACCGGATGAAGTGCCGCATAACAACAGTCATTTGATTGTCACGACTACAAACTCAAATGAACCAGAAAGTATTCAAGTTACTACCACCTTGCAGTTTGATTGGAAAATGCAATCTGAAGATAGCAGTTTCTTAGCTAACGATCCGACTCCGGGTGGAGAAGATTTTGGTCACCCTTTAGACGACTATATTGATTTACCAGATGAACCGCACAACGACAGTCAAATTGTCACCACAACCACTCCGCCATTCGATTGGAAAATGCAATCTGCCGAAGGTAGTCTTTTGGCCACTGATTCGACTTCAGGAGGGGAAGATTTTGATAACGGCAGTCGAATCATACCCTCAACTACGCATTCACCACATCAAACAGAAGTCAATCAAAATACCGCTACACCACGCTTTGATTGGAAGATGCAATCTGAAGACGATAGCTTCCTGACATCTGATCCATCCCCTGCGGGAGAGGACTTTGGGGACCCGCTGGATGATAATATTAATTTGCCGGATGAGTCACATGATGGAAATTTAACCTCCAATGATCGCGAATCTCCAACGGTGGTATCAAAAGAGGAAACTGCCACTACTCACACACTTGACGACTATTATCAAATTCAATTTCCAGACGAGATATCATCCAGAAGCGGCGATGATGATTTTGAAAATTACACGGATTTGATGGAGAATGACGTGTTGCTTAGTGGAGCAAATTTCTCCTCTATCGTTCGTGGCAGAAATGGAACTACGGAGGTGGAGAAAGTTTTTGGTAAATCCATATGGTATTGTTATTCGTTGGTGATGCTCATTGTCGGCACGTGTGGGATGTGAAAGCGCATATGCAACACGGTTTTCGATGATTGGCAAGTGCATTCCTAATTTTAGTTGCGTTTTAGTTGGAAATTATTAGTCATACAATTTCTAGGCATCGTTCCACCCCGTAAAATGATATTAGATTCGCAGATGTTCCGCGAAGAAAGCGAAAAAAGGGCACCTAGCATCATTTTTTTTTTTAGATGATTTGAGTTTTGCAGAGTGATGATTATTATTTCAGTAGAAAAGGATTGATTGCACTATACGATAAACTGGATTTCTTTTCTAGCGCAGATTTGTATCTTTCTTGAATTGCTGTTAAACTACCCGTGACAAAACAAGGCTTGTTAGTCATTATCATTTTTGGGATCAATGGAAAAATCAACTGGGAACCCTGCAAAATCACTAATATCGTTTTCGTGTTTGCGTTCTAACTTCGGTATAGTCGAAGACATCATATCAAGAAGACTGGCAACTTTGCGAGAATCCAAGCGACAGACACAATAGCGCTTCTTGAGTGAACGCATAGAAAAATGAGCAAATACACTAACCTTTCTTCTGAGGATGTAATCTTTGCTATCAAATTCGTTCGAAGCATTGACCTTTGAGAGGCAGATGACGCGATTGTACCTGTCTCATAGCGTTCGAATTAGAAAATGGAAGAGTTGCCAGTCTTCTTGATTGGTTATCTTTGGTATAGTGTAAGCTAGAAATCCTTAGAGGAAGTTCTAGTAGAAAATCTCAGAAGAAGAGGAGTGAACTGTCAAAATCTGAGCCAATCGGACATTCCCATTAGATTTTTTACGAGGATTTCTTATTCTTAGTAGATCATTATTGAGAGTATTGTAATCAAATAAAAATTCAATCACCTTTATGTTTCGTGTGCTTATCAAATGCAACTAGGTTTTAGAATCAAAAATGATATTCTAATTCTATTGATTATCGTAATCCTATTGGTTAACTAATGCCACTAAGAAATGTACAAAATATTGCGATGCACTCAATTTTTTTTTTTTGCACGTACATCGAAACGAATATAAAAGTTACGTGAAATGCTAGCTTCAAGCAAGGGTTGCGGGGTAATTGACATACTCTTCTGAAGAATTGTATTTTGTTTTTTCCGCCCATCTCTCTCTCTGAGGATTTTTGGTGTAAGCGACAATCGAGCAGAAGACCCGTCAGTTGATAGACAATAATTCTTGTTAAATTGAAATATTGTTATCGCCCGAAATGTAATACTACATTATTTTAATAAAATTAGTATTAGAATAAGATATAGTAAGGAGTTTAATTAAAACAGATTAGAACATTTCGGATCATCGTAAAACATATCTTTAATAACTTATGACCTCAAATCTCAATTTTCACCAACAACAATGAAACTTGACGAAAGCGACGAGTCATGATGATGTGAACAACGTTCAGGGTTGCCAGTTAATTTATTTGTCTTCGCGTTTTTCTCTCTTATAGGGCTCTAGTGACAACCGTTTTGTCACCAAGATCTTGGTACTCATCTTGGATGAACATACACTAACCTTCATCGTCCATCCAGTTCAAGCTATAGATACTATAGATTCCATAGATAAGCGGAGGCAAAGTATAATGTAGCCAAACGAACTGTCAGTTAGTGTAGCCAAACGAGCATGACGTCATCACGATGTTGTTTGAGGGAGAAGTATTGTAATATTATGAGCACAAAACGCTTTGTACACTCCACAATCCGATTTATTTCGCGGACAACGGAAGAAGGAAAGATAAAGCAAACCATTCCTCGACTCATTGTTGCAAATATTTGCTTTGCACTTCATTTTGAACTTTTACGCACGAAACAAAACAAAACTGCACAACAAAGAGCTCTATAATGGCATGAACTTTTTTCACGGATGCCAGTAAGATCATTTATTTTTCATGGTTGTCAGAACAACTTTTTTGTGCCTCCGCTTATCTATGGAATCTATAGTAACTATAGTTCAAGCAAGATTGCCACTTGCACAGTTTTCGTGTCGTGGTGTTTATGTTTATTTTAAGATGTAAATATCAATCAATGAGGTTATAAAGTGCTTTTAAGTCGTATGTATGTCGAGTTTAGGTCGGTTGCAATAATCATATCCTCAACATATTAAATTTTTCCAGCGTTTGGACAACAAGTATTAAAGTAAGAGTAATGTTTATGAATTTACAACTGCTTCCATAGTAATCCCCATAAAGGTTGCAAATACTTTTTACGGAATAAAGCACCCTAGTGAACTGTGGCTATTGCCTGTACCATTTGTGCATTAGTATAACGGGTGTCCACTAAAAAATGAGAAAGAAAAGAATGGGTCGGGAAAAACACACCAGTTCAAACTGATTTATTTCATACAAAGGGTTAACTTAAGTCTTCAAACTGAGTTTAGTGAATATTGGCATACGGTCCAAGGCAGCTTAGTCATAGTATTGGAACACGGCTGCCACATAGATTTTCCGGATGCAGCTTTTGATCCTGTTCGTGAGTTGCTTGGTGTCCTTGGCCTTCCCATTATTCTTGCATGCCATGGAGCTCCGGTCTTTCGGCACATATGGTATATTTTGGCTTTCCGTCGTACCTCCGCATCATCCAGCGGTATTGGGATCTCACAGTTTGGATTTGCAAATCTGGGGATCTGATTTTCTTTCTACACACTATTCCCCCCTTCCTTTGAGCGAAGACAACATATGAAGAAGACTGGCAACTCTTCCATTTTCTCATACGACGGCTATGAGACCGACACAATTCCGTTACCTGCCGCTCAAAAGTAAATGCTTCGAACGATTTGACAGCAAATATTACAACCTCAGAAGAAAGGTTGGTGTATTTGCTTATTTTTCTATGCAGTACTTCAATAGAGGTAACTCTAAGACCATAAGGTCCCGAAGAAACGTGCTCAACTTTTTGGGTCAGCACTGGTACTCTCTTCGGTCCCAAGCTAATCGATGCACCCCTCGAAACATAGGAAAATCCACGAACCCCTCATTTTATCTGTCAAACTTTCATAGCGAATCAAAACAAACATAGTGTAGTACTAGAATTCCGACTAGAATGGGATAGGTTAATCGTTTGCTTGGGACCAATAGGCTAGTCAAGTAATAAGCGAGGGGCACGCAATAGCCTTTTTGACTGCGTTGGATTTAAAGTACAAGGTATTCAACTATGTAATTAAGTAATTAAAAATGAAAATTAAGTATTTCACGTAATTAAATTTAATTTCGCGTAATCAAAGCAGTGCCAGTGTAATTAACACGTACTTCAATTAACTTACGTAATTATTGTAATTAAAAATTTATTTTCTGTAATGAATGTAATTAAAGTTACACAAATGTAATTAAAAATGTACCCAAATCCTTATTCTTGAACTATTTTAAAAGAAATGATGAAAACCCTTAACACATACTCGAATGAATCAATATATTCAAAAACACTTCTTACACCCCGAAATACGCCCATTAATGTTTTACTAGACTACAAACATGACCAATTCTGCGAATACTTATACACTGGAGTCGCTTTTTACGCGGTTTTTTTTACGCGGATTTCGGAATTTACGCGGATTCCAGAATTAACGCGATTTTTTTTTACAAGGGACGTATCACCCGCGTAAAAAGTGACTCCAGTGTACTAAATTTCTTGAAGCACCATGCTAGAATTGGAAACTGAAATAATCCACTCGCGACAAACGATTTCACTCTCGTTTTGTACGTTCAACATAATGTCGTATCTAGTGCACTGTATTCGTTGAATAATGCTCTTTAATGCAGAACTAGAATAAAATGGATTGTCACGAGTGGGTTATATCGGTTTACAACTCTAGCGACAATATACAGTGAAAAGGAAGTGATACTCATAATGAGGCCGTGATTGCCGTACAAATGAAATGGGAATCACTTAGTTGTGACGACAAGTCTTCAAATTTTACATTTCCTTAAATTCAAGCAATTCCTCGAGCAAATTTCCTCCCGATTAAAAAATGTTCGAATTTTAAGCCATGCTCGCAGCACAGTTCGACAGATGATGATATTAGCTTGTGCCTGAATTAACAGATTCAATGGAAGATGTATTTGCATTTGCATTAATTTTCTGATGTTACGCGTGACTTCTTCGATTATTTCAATATTTCTTTCAAACTTAATATTATTATACTAATAATAATTAACAGATTTAAGGCAGACTTCATTTACCAAAAAAAAAATATAATCAGGTTTTGGTTGCAGACACTAAGATGATTCAAACCAATTGTGTGCTTTTATTTGTATTATCGCCATCATATGATCACATCCGTATTCAGAATTGACGCGATAGCACTTATGAAATTCGCCTCCCCATTATTCGTCTTTCCATGGGTCAACTAAACAATACTATGGGCAGAACTCAAAACCGATAGAAAACGATGAGTCAGTCCCATGTGCACAGGACACGAAATGATCGTTACCGATCAACTTGACACACTCCAGTTATCCGTGCTGGGAAGACAATTGCATACTAGCTGCGATTTTTCCCCGGAAGTAGCGCAGCGTGTGAATGTCCAAAGTATTCACCAGCTCCAGTGTCCGTTCAGCTCTTTCTCTTAGGGGCTGTTCATAAACTACGTAGACAGTTTAGGGGAGGGAGTTGACAATTATGCACGGCCCATACAAATTTTAAAAATTTTGTATGGACAATTGTCTACGCAGGGGAAGGGGGACAATAATCCAAAAAAATGTCTACGTAGTTTATGAACAGCCCCTTATCGGCCTCAAAAAAACTTCTGATCCTGCGAAATGGCCAGCGAAAGAACTATTGCCTTCTCCGCCTTTGTCACCGTTCCCGCTTGATCAGGGTACAGAAATCGATCATCGCCAGTTAAACACAGACCCATCGGTGACTGATGCTTTCAAATACGATTGATTTCTATATTGCTAAAAAAAACATGCTTTTGAATTTAATTCAAAATACATATTTTAGTTTTAAACATGTTTTCAGTTTACTTTGAATCATTCATATGTTTAGAGTATAAACAGATTTATTTTTGATTTGAATGAACAAAATTCGTATCCGAGGAGAAATAAAAAATATTTTTACATGTAAATTTTGTTAATAATCTAAAAAAAATTGATTTTCTTGAAATTTCGATAATTTTTCCCATTATTAAAAAAAAACCGTGTCGAAAAAACTATATTTTCGGGGCGGTAAACTTCCCCTTAACCATACATTTTGGGGTTAAATACAAAGAGGCAAAACGTGCTTGACATAATTTTCTATTGTAGCGGCGCCGGTGGTGTTGTGATAAGCGTGATTACCTCTCATCCCAGCAGGCCTGGGTTCAATCCCAGTCGGCGCCGCCGGGATGTTCTGAGGCATAACATCTCTGATCACGCCTCCCTTCGGAAGAGAAGTAAAGCCGTTGGTCCCCGGTTCATGAGTTGATGAGTCGATAGGTATATAGGATCCAGGTGTGGGAGCTGCCTCCCTGGCGTCGGTAGAATTGGTGCTCAGCACGGAAAACAAGATCGACGGAAAACAAAATCAAGGAAATTGAAATTGTAATTCTGTTTTGGTAGATGTGAAACCAAATTAAATCCGTTATTTCTAAGGTTGAACCAGTTAGCACAAACAAACATTCCTTTCATTGTCACATTATTCGGCGCTTTGACAGGGGCGTGATCCAGGGTATAGGTTTTTGCCCTGCCTACACCTCGGCAGTATTGACATCCGACTACATTTCCAATCACGAACCGATCGTTGCATGTGAATTGGCACCAATCACCAACGTAGATTTCCTCGTAGGTCCCGGGAGATGTATGTTTATAGGGTCTATTCTGAAGTCATAACAGCGGTAGCGATACAATCTATCAGAGCTGACATTATCTTTAACGTAGCAAAAGGGCCTGTGAAATTTTTGTTTCACGGGCCAATAACGAAAGGGTCTAACGGTACGCTGGGGGTAATTTAAGTACATTTCTCGCTGTACATTAATGGAGTTAATGTACTTAATTTATGCGACTTGTAATTAAAGCTGAGTAATTAAATCAAAAAAATTCTGACGTTCGTAGTTAAAGCAATTAATCATGTAGTTAACTGTAATTATTGTACTTAAAAAAGGCTTGCGTAGGAGTTAAAGGTTATTGCGTGCCCCTCGGTAATAAGCCAATTTCAAATCGATAGTTTTGTATTGATTGTTGGTCTTACTTTGTAGCTGCGCCTTTACCGGCTGAGCTAAGGGAGGTGCCAACGTAATTTGTGAAAAATACTTATTAAAAGTGTTTTAATCAAATTATACTATGTGTACGGGTAAATTAAGCAGATTTTAATTGAAGCAACATAACATCTTGGTTTTTTTAATATTTGGTGACATAGGCCCTTTTCACATGATCTGCTAGAATTCTCTATCATCCTCCGGTTTCTAATTACTCACACAACTGGATAGATGGTTGCTTTCCTTGGCAAAGATGTTCAGATTGATAAGAAATGTTGGATCGTGAATAGTTTAATTCAGAATTCATCAGCCAGGTGGTGCTAGTGTGTCATTTGACTTATAGTTGCTTGTTTAATTTTACTGCTCGAATAGGTGGAAGGTTATTGTATATAGCGAACTTGTTCTGGAGGACAAGACCGATTGGATAGCAGGTTTCATTAATGTGGTGTTTAAATCTGTCCGGATTTGCTAGCGCTAGTAAACTAGCACTGAATTGTAGCCAGCATAATGTAAACAGGGCATCAGCGTCTACCAGCATGAAATTACAGGAGCAACTGAAATTCGTGCTAATTGGTTGAGCTGGTGTGCTAGTGAACTAGCATAAGTGTAAACAGCCCATAAAACAATGCATTTCAGTAAGCGGATACTGTTCACTAGGTGAAAACAAACATTTTTCAGTTGCCGAACGTTTAGTCTGCTTCATTTCAATAGTTTGGAATTGAAATTTTGGATTGAAGCTTTTGAAGTGTGGTCGTGTTTCGGACACAATCCTTAGCCATTTAAAATACTTTTTCTTAGAAACTCCGTGGGAACAACAGCCTAATTTCTCTACTGCCATAACAACTATCCATGTTCTATGCAATTCTACTGAAACGTGATTCCTTTATGTGCATAACGGTCATATGTTTGATCAACATTTTGTTCAAAATCCTCGAATTATTCTTCCGTTTTCCGTCACTGGATTATATTTTTAGATGCTTTAATGTTAAGTTCTATTCTCTAAAAATACCACTTAACCCTTTCCTGCCCGGAAGGTTTTTCGTTGTTTTGAGATGCAAAAATTAGTTTTGAAATAAGTGCTAGAGCTAATAATATTCCATACAGCCTAAAATTATTGAATCCATCAAAAAAAGGTTTTGTTTAAAATCAATATAGTATGCTAAATGTTTTTCAATAGTTACTCAGCTGAATCTTCAAGAATGCATATGGATGAGCATAATGAGCACACGGAGAAGCTTGAATAAATACTGACTATTTAATGGTAGACTGACAAACATCAGACGGTCCGAAAAGTTGTGGATCACCTGTGCTACCACGGGAAGGAAAGGGTTAAAACTGCACATACAAGCTTACAAAACTTTGTTGTAGCGTCCTATAGAACAACACTGTGCAAGGTACATACTAATTCTTACATTTCTACTTTCAACAGCATCGAACGCCGGCCTTGCATGGGGTTTGGTACTGGCCGTAATTTTCGTAGGCGTAATCATAGCCCTGGTCCTGTACTATCGACGCCGAGTGGCAAATCTGAAAGCGGAGGTCAACCACGTCGTAAACTACATGATCCAGGAGCAGCCGGGTCATTTCGATAATCCCGTCTACTCGGCTTACCAAGGGCAACCGGGCGCGGCTGGAGCTGGTGATGGACAACCTAACGGTGTTCGTCCCATGACCCATGATATGCTTTCGAATGGCTCGCTGATTCGAAATAACCTGAGGAGCCCTAAGTCCAACTTGGACAAGTATCGCTATCCGGAGAATGAATCAGTTGGAACTGATCGATGTAAGTCTTTGCCAAGATAAGCCTAGATTAACGGTATATAATTGGACGTTTTATTTTCAGCCTATTCCATCCAATTCCTATCGGAAAGCCAGAAGAACTTTGATGCTGACATGACGAACCCCAACTACGACGCAAAAGATCACGTGTATGATGAAATCAAACACAAAGATGGTTACAAAGATCTCGGTAAGTTGTTGCCCAGCGTTTGCATTTTGATTTCTAGTTATTCACTTCAATTCCATCCGATGCATGCTCTCAGATATGATACGTAACGAGTTGTAAGTCTTGAGATAGCTTTTCAAGACTTCTTTAAAGTACTGCATCTAATAGTACTTCTCCATTTCAGACACTGAATACGACCATCTGGATTACTCTCGACCAGGCAGTTCACACAAGACTCACTACTTTCGAATGAACAATCCGTTAACCAACTCGCCGAAGGAGATCAACGTCCTTCGGGAGAACGGCACCATCAACAACCTGTCGTCCCCTGGGCTAAGTAGTCGGCAACCGTTGGTTGCGCCCGGCCTGGGCACAACGGCAGCCACCGGTACGACCGATTACGGTTCATCCTCATCCAACTCGTCCCCGATACCTCCTCCGCTCTGTACCACCGGCACGGATAGCAGCAACCTGTACGTTAAGATGTCCTCCGAGGGTTCGTCTCCGGCGACCAGCGATCAGGAGTGCAGCGCCAGCAGTAAAATTCCAGAGCATCAACTTAACATCAAGTAAGTGCGTTTGCTCACATTTTCCTTACTTTTGCGTTCTTACCTAGAAAAGAAAAGCAATCACTAGTGAAATCTGAATCAATTTGAACTGATGCAAGTCACGGAAGTTTCATATTGTATACTACGCTCATAGTTTGTAATATTTTTATTGTGAGTTTTTAAGATTGTGATATAAAGAACAGTTTGATTGTGTTTCGCCTCGTCTGCTTTTTTGCTCGATTCTGCTTCATGCCACGTGGAAGGAAGCAAAGTTGTCGATCTTCGTTTAAATAGACTGCTAAGAATGACGGAATTAGAACAATAATCATCAACCAAATTGGGGGGAGATGTTTCTTTTAACGCTTCTCGATTACTTTTTCAAAGGGACGTATTAGCTTTTGTAAACAATGCATTTGATCGTCGATTTGGCGTAAGTAGTAGCTCGCCCACGCATGGAAGTTTTCCCCTACCTGATATATAGGGGTGTCAGTATGCGTGAGCGAGCTACCAGTCATGCCAAATCGACTATCAAATGCATTGTTTGCAAAAGCTGATACGTACCTTCGAAAAAGTAATCGAGACTTCCCTTCTCAATTCAATTGGCCAACGAAGCGATGTTTAAGATAATTTAATGATAATAATAATTATAATAATATTAATCATTGTAACATTAAGCGTGCCAAAACGAGCCACCATTCCTCTGATTGATTGGTGCGATACAAATTTCGCTAGATATACGTACATTCATGCATACATATTTACATACAACTCACGTTGAAATTGGATTGATATTTTAAAAAAATGCAAAGACCATGATATAAAATTGTTATTGAAAGTAAAAAATAAAAAAAGAAAACGTATAGATTTCAATCGGTTTCTATCAGCAGAGAAATCATATTTGTCATTATGCCCTCCTAGAGAGGTTAGAGAGTTTATATATATAAAGTCAAAACTATATCATCGATTGAATTATTCATATTTATATACACATTCGGGAATAAAAATGATTAAGCATCAAAATTGTATTGTTTGGCAAAATCAATTCTATTGTCAAAGCAATTCTTTTCTTATTCTAGTGATGTTGGAAAGCAATGTAAATTTTATCATTAAAGATTGTCAATTGTAAAACAAAGTTATTTTTGTTAGTTGTTTCTTGGAGAACTTGAAAAAGAAAATTCCTGTGAAAGCAATAAAGTCAGCACTAGTATTTCGAAAGAGCGAAACTGCGTCTTAACGAAACTTATCAAACCAAAGATTACCCACGGAGACTCTGGTACATTTTACAGATGTTTTTTTTTTAATTATCGGACAAAATGGGCCGAAGGATTTCAGCATGTTATGAAAATGTGCCCACAGATAGAGTTAATGGTTATATGAACGAAAACAAGTTCAAAAAATTTGAGGTGGTTTCTTTTCCCCTCCCCTTGGCTAGTTTTTAACCTTGACGTTGGTGGGCGGGCCTAATCTTATGCTTCACAGTGGAGCGTTGGAGACGGTTGGTTTAGGTCCGGCATCGTTGGCTCATGCCGTGACAGAATAGCGGCATGAGCATGCGATGAGGATTACTGAGCTTCCCCTCTCTGATGAACCATTGCATGAGAGAACCAAAGTTCTAGCCTGAAGTGATAGTATCACACTTGTTACTCCTTTGTTTGAGAGCCGCGTTGTAGTACGCTTACGTATAGGCACTGACGTTGGGTGCGATACTTGCGGGTTTTGTCGCAAATCACTCTTATTTATTTTTCTTTCCTTTATTTAACGTCGGTCTCTGTTCCGCAATCTACTGCCAATCACCGACGGACATCGATTGCCATCCATTGACGGCAACCAAATGTGCAGGAAGGCAGCTTCCACACCTGCGTAGGATATCGCACCCATTCACAACACACATGGGCCGGGACCAACGGCTTTACTTCCCTTCCGAAGGAAGACGTGACCAGAGATTTTTATGCCTCAGAAAAATCCCACCGACCTCGGCTGGGGATTGAACCCAGACCCATTAGGGTGTTAGAAAGCAGTCACGCTTACCACTACACCACCGGCGCCGGCTCTTATTTATTTTTACGCAGATAGATTTATTTTGGTTTACAAGGGAATTATACTATTGAAAAATTTCAGAAAGTGCCCAACAGTGCTTCTTCTATTTGCGTGACAAGCTTTCATTATTGTTTTCATTGAAGTATTACTCAGGGAACAATGTTAAACACCATTTTTGTACATGGTATTGTAACTAATCTTACACGTGCTTCATTTTGATTTGGGATAAGTGTTTGAACTATAGTTCGGGATTTCCACTGTGGCGTGCTTTTATTGTGACATACCCATGCGTATTTTTGTGGTACGACATAGTGGAAGCGTGTGAGCATATACCTTATATAATTTAAAAATCAGCTAGGAAACTAACTTCAACTTGAAGCATTTTAGTCACTTGAAGGTGTCACCTGGGTCGAATTAAGATATAATATATAGGTATAGGTCAAAGTCAAAAGTACGTGAACACGTTTAATTTTAGATTGCAAGCACAAGTGCAGGTACTTAATAAAGCATGGGTTATGATTGATTAGGTGAATTGAGATTTCAATTATTTATTAAATTAGACTAATGAGATATCATAATCATCAAACGAACTTAAATAAGAAGAATTAGACAGCCTAATAACATTAAGTAGATTAACAAAAGAATTAGGATGCCGGGGTCCGCTTAGGGAGGCAACTAGCCTTTAAAGCAACTGGAAACTAGCCTTTTCATATATTTTCAGTTTATTTTGATGGTTGCTTTAAAATATCAATTTGGTATATATGTGAAAGGATGAATCAGTAGGAGATTAAAACCAAAACCCCCCAATAACCGACCTCTTCAATCCCTTCCTTTTCCCATGGCGTTCAAGTGGTCCGCATAGACTATTCAGCCATTACCCTTCCTTTATCCTCGGCTTTCAGTTGACTTGCGCTCCGTGAACATTGCTAACCAGCGATCAGAGAAATAAACGATCAACAGTTTACGTTGAAACGCCCAACCTATTAGTTCAATCTTCCTCCTAGTCCGTCCGAAAGTATACTTTATAGCAAAGTCTGTTCACAGTAGAATCACAAGAACATAAAAACCGTTTTTTTTTTAGTTATGATAAAGAAAAAGAATGGCTCGGAAAATTTTTGTTGAACTTTTCTGATTTTCCCGAAATTTACATTCTTCAAAATCCATAACTCATGTGACCGAACATTAGTTTTTCGGTGATAACTCCATAACGGTAAGACTAGGGTACATGTCCCTAACGTGAGTTTAATAATTAGCCATCAATTATGATTTAATCATAAATATAAAAAAAATACTGACTTGCATACGACCCAATAATGGAGGTCTTTGGCCTTTCGAAAATAGTCCTTGAAATAAGATTGATGACTGTTTTTCATTTCACTCAGGGTTGCTGCTATACACAACACAATTCTTTTAATTTTAGTAGTAATTTCACTTATTAAATTGATCATGAGCATGATTGGCCACCCGCGGTTGCTACTCCGTTGTTGCCATATCAGCACAGAGATCCAATAGTAATAATTGTAATAGGCAATACCAGCGCTGCACCGCGTCCGAATGCAGGTCAATTAAGGAATGAGTAGGAATATGATGGCTTGATACTGACTTTGTTGGAAGCCGAGAAAACCTCTGCACTTCCACGAGAAATCACTGGGATGTTGGATAAAACCACAAACGAAGTGACAGACGACTAACTGGCGAAGAAATCCATTAAAATAATGTGGTTCACTGTAATAGAATTTTCTTGGAAGCTTGTGCCATCATCCACCAAATGGGTTAGTTTTTTTGTTTTGATTTGAACAAAGTTGATTTTGTGTACAATGATTCTTTGACAGTGTGCAAAGACTGTATCATTTTGTCATTTTTTTATGCATTTTAGTTTTGAGTAGAGTGAAAGAGGTAGAACCAAAACATTCTAATACATTTGGTGAAAATGCTAGTACAATCCAGCAGTAGTGTTGCCATGTGGTACAATCTAGTAGTAGTAGTGTTGCCATGTGGTACACTGAAAAATTGCAATAGCAGGTTAGTCACCAAAGTTTTCGAGCCGCTCTGTCTGTCACTTCGTCGAAGGCTACTGAGCCCATCATATAACATCTTACTACTAATGATCGAGTTGATGTTGAAAGCATTCAAATCCGGCACGGACGACGACGACAAGGTTCACAAAACACACGATGAGCAAGCAATGTGGCTATAGAACTCCTTAATAACCTGATTGTAAACTCGATTCTTCGACTGGTTGTCGGATCTCCTTTAAACCTATTCGTCAACAGGGCAATTCCCACATCCCCGATTTCCTCATATACACTGAAACCAACAATCAATGTGAAACTATCGATTTTAAATTGACTCACTACTTGACTAGCCTATTGGTCCCAAGCAAATCGATTAACGTACCCCATTCTAGACGAAATTCTAGTACTACACAATGTTTGTTTTGATTCGCTATATACAGCTAAAATGAGGGGTTCGTGGATTTTCCTATGTTTCGAGGGGAGCCTCGATTAGCTTGGGACCGAAGATAGTACCAGAGTTGAGCCAAAAAGTTGAACTCGTTTCTTCGGGACCTACTAGTCTTAGAGTTACCTCTATGCTGAAACCAGGTTGGCACCTTAAATCAAAACGCTTTGATTTTGCTTCAACCGGTTGACCAACTGTCAAGTTTGTTTTGCAACCACTCCACGATATCGAAATCAACCCAACCTGGTTGTCATCCAGATTGCAGGGTGTATGGGGCCCATAAGGCAGTTGAGCCCGATGGTTTTTTATCATAGTATTTATTGATTCTATAACATTCCCCAGAAAAGTATGTATTAGATTGACTATTTTTGTTTATTATAGTTACTCCTGGAATCTTCTTTCGCGTATATAAAACGAAGAGAAAAACTTCTTAATGGATCAAGGGGTTTTCCCTTCTTTGAAAATATAAGAAAAGAAATTAATTAATTTTTTGGATGTATGAAAAAGAAGGTAATATTCCCTTCTTTTGATATATAAGGAAAATATATTATCAATAGCTTTTCGCAAGGGATTCGGGGTAATGACCATTTGGGATAATAACGAGTGAAATAATGTTATAAATTTGTAATCGGTAGTTCAACGTTCCATGCACCGATTTTTTAATTCATCACGAGAAATTCTTCAACTCAGGTCGAACAATTCTTCGATAAGGTTTAACAGTTTCTGACTGGTTGAATTGGATTGCATAATAGACGCTTTGACTTTTTAAATGATGAACGAAGTGCTCGAAAACTTGATTCTACTGTAAACAGTAAATTATTCTACGGGATCGAACTGTTCTGCCTTTCCAACGACTCTCTTACCACACGACTAGCCCCAACGTATAACCAGGCAATCAGAATCGTCGCAGGACTTCTGCCTTCAACACCGGCTGAATCGGCATGCGTCGAACTCGGTGTACTACCGTTTCAATACCAAGTCGCCGAAACGCTGAGCTGCAGAATGACCAGCTACCTGGAAAAGACCACCGAGAACCACGAGGTCTTTCTCCTCAGGGAGGGGAACAGAGCTCTCGGAAACTTGGTCCATCAGGAGCTCCCACCCGTGTCCAGGGTACACTGAAACGGAGCCAGAGGATGGACAGAACCAACCATACGCGTTGACCTTTCAATTGCCAAGCGCTTCAAGGCAGGTAACAACTTCCGTGCCATGCAGGCCACGTAGCGGAGCTGCTGACAACTAAATACGCAAATTTTCAACACCGTTACACGGACGGCTCTAAGGCCGTGGGGAAGGTCGGATTCGGAGTAGCGGATGTATCCAATAGCTACTTCTTTCGACTACGCGATCAGTGCTCTTTCTTCTCGGCGGAGGCTGCGGCCATCCACTTCGCCACCACGACACCCGCCAATAAACCCATATGTGTCCTAACAGACTCCGCCAGCGTTTTATACGCCTTGAATTCAGCAACATCCAGACACCCCTGGATACAAGGGATGCAAAAGGCCGCGCCGCGAACACCTCATTTGTTTGGGTACCCGGCCATTGCGGTATCCGGGTCAACTGTGAAGCAGATCATCTCGCTGCTACAGGTCGCTCTGGCCGGATGGCCACCACAGTTGTACCCAGTCAGGACGTAAAAAAATGGGTGAAAGCATCCCTCCGAGACGCCTGGGCCCGGGAGTGGTTCGCAAAAAGGGGACCGTTCCTGAGAAAAATAAAGGGCGACACCTCCAAATGGAATGACATTACGAGCCGATGGGAACAACAGGTCTTATCCCGGCTTCGATCCGGACACACCCGAGTGACCCACAACATGGGTAGCGCTACCTCTTTTCGGAAGTTTTGCGACTCCTGCAACACGATTATTACAGTCGAACACCTGATTGTTAACTGTCCCTGCTTCCATAACATCCGGCTCCTCTATGGAATACCGAACAGCATACGTAACGCCCTCTCTAACGATCCGTCCACGGAAGCAGCCCTAATAGTTTTCCTAAAAGATGCTGGACTGTTCTATAAAATATAATCAATATATACCAAATCACTACGCTTCGAACATGGACACCACTGGAGTAAGCCTGGATATCACATGACGATTACCTGACTGCCTTCGACAACGACCACCGCCATTCACACCATGATCCGCCAACCACGCTAAGAACCAAGACAGGAACCATAATGAACTCTGTTTAAAAATACTCTTTACTAAGGGGACTCCCTTCTGGAGCTCCACCAACCTCTAGGAGAACCCCTTCTGGGTTCTCCAAACTCTCAACTATGTAATTAGGGAAGCCCCTTCTGGGGCTCCCGGAGATGAACCAGCCTGCGGCTGAAAATCTCCTAAACAGAGCTAATAATAATAATAATAATAATAATAAATAATAAGGTTATCATATCAGTGCCAACATTTCAAAGGGGCGTAATTGCATTTGTAAACAAAGACTTTAGTCATCGATTTCTCGTGAATGAAAGCTCACTCATGAAAATGAATGACACCAGCACGCAAAGGAATGTTTCCTGTATCAGCTAGCATTTGTAATTTGGAGGGGTGGGTTTTCATTTGCGAGAATTCGACGTTTAAAGCCACTGTTTACAAAAGCAATTACGCCCCTTTGAAATGTTGGCACTGATATATTTAAAACAATACAAAAGTCTGGAAGTTTAGAAAATGTGCCAAATAGATACTAGACCTTGCTTTTGAGGTTTGATTTTTAACTTAAGATTGACAAAAAACAAAACAAAATAGTGTAGAGAACTACTTCGGCCTAATCGCCCATTTTGGGCCTATCGAGCAGAAAACTTCAAATAAATCCATGATTTCAGAGTTAACTAGTCAATTATCCGTTTGGTACAATACTTTAGTTAATAAGCTACCGAACGAAGTCAATGAGAACGCGTAATATGAAGGTTTGCACCCATTATTCCCAAAAACAAAAGAAGCACTCTGACCGAATCAATTTTTATCTTCATCCGATAGGCCGAAGTGAATTCATTGGCCTTTCAATGGCGTTTCAATGCATTAGGCCAAGTTTAGAATCCGTAGGCCGAGTTTGGCGTCAAGAAGCAGTGTTAGACTTTTGACAATATCTCAACGATTTGTTCCTCTTTATAAAATCTTACGGTACGTACGGAAAGGTAAATAAATTTGAAAGCCATCAGTAATAATAACATTCCATTTGATGCTAAACTGCACTAGATTAAGAAAGACTAAGTGCGGGTTGTGCTTAATAGGCCGGAAATGGGGTAGTTAATCCTACTTGAACAAAACGATTTTCTCCGACCGGTAATACAGGACCTACTGTTGTACGTCGCTTTAAAATCGATGCAAGGGGGCCTGATCACTTAACGTGACTCTTTTGGAAGAATTGCCCGGTGATTTTTTTCCTCTGTTCGGGACCTAACACCACTATGACCAGTCATTTAATCTATTGTAGTACATCCCGTGTCCTTAGTTTAGTGCATGTCGCATTACTCCATCACTATTGAGAAATGATGAAGTATTCGATTTTTTACAGTTGTCATTCTCGCATTTATCGCAAGGATCCGACTCTAATTGAAAGGTCCCGCTATTTATACCATTTATACCCTTCGGAGTGTTGAAACACCCTCCAAAGGCGCGCCCCTTTGTCAGTCAAAATTGAATTCCTTAGTAATAAAATTAAGGAATGACACCGATAATGACCATGCATCAGAACCCACTTCAAACTAGGGAACAACGAATAGAAGATTAAGAATCACATAGATGAAGATTAGCTAACTCATTTTTCCCTTGTTTCAAGATCATCCTCGGTGGACAAAGCCGAGTCTTGTCAAGGCATAAAAAGTAGTAAGGACTTGGCTTACTGAAAAATCCTGTTCCCCTAGTTTGAAGTAGTCAGGACTAGGAATCGGTGGTAGATCTTACATCCCGTAACGTACCACGAAAAGGTGATCTACCCACGTTACGGTGGTAAAACTACCTTGATAATTTCTCACGAGTTCCTTCGCTTTTGGTAATGAACAATAGACGATATTCCTGGTTGACTTGTAAATTGTAGGCGGCTTTTAGTTTCTCAGTTTTTCTACCCATTGAAACGAGGGGTGACTTTTACATGTTTAGAATCTATCTTCCCGATCATATTTATTAACAACAGAAAGCAACTGTCCTTATGTTCTCTTCTATTGTTCAATTTGGTTTTGTTCCAGGTTGTGTTGCGATTTGTCCTACCTAGATGCTATATACTTCACAAATTCAGCAACACAACCGTTTCCTTTCCACTTTCTTTGCTTCACTTCGGTTTTGTTGTAATTCCATCCTAAACTAATGCTGGCATTTTTGTTTCTTTTGGTTTCTCCCATAAAATATATGTGTATAGAATACGCTATCATCAATATTTGTTTTTGTTTTGTTTTGTGTCTGTGTCAGTGTAATTCAATCAAATAACTACTACAGTCGGATATTTGTTTTCATTTCTATGACTAAGGAGAAAAAAAAATCGCACTAACTCTATGCACTCTTTCTCTCCCAAAATACATGTATAGTAGGTGTACTAACTCGTAAGGAATCTAACTACTACCTACAGCTTATTAAATTTGTTTTCTTTCGTATTTTGTGTTTTTTCGAAACCGCTTCCTTGGTTAGAGTTTTGTATAAACGTAATTTTCTTTCTTTTTGTTTTGTTATTTGATTAGTTTATTCAGACTACACTCATATTTGAAAGGCGCATTATTCTCCTGTTTTGTGTTCTCGTATAGCTGGTTACTTGGGACTAAACCAGAATAGGGTAGTTCCAATACTTGTTTCGATAATAGTTAATGCATTTAAATATTTGTTTTGCATTCCGTGCAATGAAGTTCCAATATTCTCCTTTATAGTAAATAATATTCTTTTCTTCGATAATGCTAATTTGCATCCTGCTCGACAGTACTACTGGCATTCCTTTGCATTCTTTTTTTTTTTACAACTTAACAGTACGAAATTTTCTTATTACACGTTATTGTAAGTGTTATGCAATGAAATTTGGCTCACTGTTGGAATGTTTGCATGCAGAAATAAATAGATTCGTTCTGAAAGAAAAGCTTTGTAAAACACAAGCAATAATATGGTAACTATTACTAGCATAAAAGTGATGGTAATCTAGCAAGTCACGATGTAAACGAAAGGGATTCGGTTTCCGTTTCAACATTTTATTATACTAGGTATTTCATCTGGCACTGAACAGAGTAGAACACAGTTCACAAATTGTCTACCCCAGTGGTTGTGGTAAATATCATTGTACAACTAAATTATTATTGCTAAAAACTAAATCTTAAGGGACTTGCTTCCTCCTTGTACTACCTCTGATGACTTAAAAGCTTGTATCAGTTCTAGACTAAGTAAAAAAAAAAGAGAAACGTAATTGTGGTTGCTTCTCTTCCGCGAGATCGCAACCGAACAGCACACGAACGACAATGCACACATCCTAGAATATCCGAGAGTAAACCGTTGGCACCCTGCTACTATTAGTACTATTACTACTACCACTGCTGTCCAAACCGGAAGGAGATCATTTTTCCTTCAGCAGTTGATTGAGGAAATCTATCTCGCCCTGAAGCTGTTTGATGGCATTGTTTTGGTTCTTGACAATCTTACGGCAAGCAAACAGCTCCTTCAATGTTTGCTCGTACTTTTCCTTGTAGTTGATGGTACCGTTGGTGGAGGATGAGCTCGGTGGACTCGCACTGATGCTGCTGGTGGTTTTGTTGAAAGTATTACTCTTGCTGTGATTGTTGTTGTGGTTGACGGCCGGTGTTACCGTGAGTTCCGATTTGAGCGATGCCGGAATTACAGCGGCCGCCGCTTTGATGGCCTTCATCTGCTGCAGCTGCTTGTACGCGGCCAGTTCCTCATCCACCGCGTTCTGGTAACTGGACTCGTACTCGGACGAATCTGTGAAAAAGGTATAATTTGATGAGTTTGTGTCTTTGTCGGATATAATATTGAATTAATGCTACACCGGGGTTTGGAGGGTAGGGAATTTGACTGAAATAGTATTTAGATTTGAAATCTCTAGAACAGCTCTGACATTAGCAAAATATCTCCAGAGCTTCCATAAAACATGGGACAAATATGCATCAACCAACAGGGAATAAGTTGCGGGAAATTTGACCAAGGTCTAGGTCAAATCTTTTACGTTGACCCTATGCACCACTGGAGTTGCTGAGAATATATCAGTAAGTGATTCTCTGAAGGTTGCTCGGAGATGAACTAGCCAGTTGGCTAAACATCTCCATAATAAAGCATTACAATTAAAAAAAAAAAATCTTAAGGGTACCGAGCGACGGTCGCTAAACTGTCCCATATGAAAAGAAAATCAAGCACTGATGAACCTGATATGCGATTATAAACAGTGAGCCGCTCTGACGTATAAAGGAAAAAAAATGTTTTTTTCAATGATACAATTTATGATAGTTTATATGAATTGCATGCAGTATAGTGCAAGGTGGGCAAGATCTACTTGATATTTTTTTTTTCATTGTCAACATCAACATACTCAATGGAGCCTCTATGCTGGTCTGAGAAAAAAAACATCATTGTGGTTTTGCCAGGTACCCCCGGAATAGCTGCTTGCATCGAAGGAGGACTGCTCCCCTTTGATCGTTTCATCTCCAAAACTATCTGCCAACGAGCCATCGGACTTTACCAGCAGACATCAGGAAACGACAAGGAAGATTCCCACCTCACGGAGGCGAACAATTCACTCAGGGAAGCATCCAACCCGACTCTCCCCTCAATATCCAAGGTTTACTGGGTCGGAGCGAGGGGTTGGAACAAGCCGAAGATTCTGACCGACCACACAATCAAACACCAATTCAGAGCTGGTGCCAATCCTTCAGCGGTGGCACAAGCGGTACTCGAACTCCAGAACCGGAAATACGGAAGATACACCATTCGGTACTCGGATGGCTCGGTAACCCAGGGAAAGGTAGGAATCGGGATTTTCGGTCCAAACCTCGCGGAATGCCATAGACTCCCGGATCAGTGCTCCATTCCCGACGACCGACCAATAGCCATCTTCACCGACTCCGCTAGTGTGGTAGCCGCACTGGAATCCGATACGGGCTATACAGGAACACGCGCCAAACAACACAGTCATTTGACTGTTCATTTTGGACATATGTCGATTTCAAATGTTAAGGGTATCTTATGTATGTATGTATCCCTTCAAGACTTGTCTTGTATGCAGCACCACTTAATAGCAAGATCAATTTGAGCTACCGATCTGAATTCACTATATCGCTGTATGAAGGGCCAACAACGGAAGGGCGGACCCGTAAGCAGAGACACTTTCGCGAAATCCACGGGAATTTAAGAATCTCCTTCCAACGATACGCTCCAACAATTCGAATAACACAATTCGCAATACTTATTAAGCTTCCTACTGGATGGTTTGTTAAGAAGGGCGCGTCAATCGCCCTGAAACTGTTGGAGTAGAATTCACACCACCACAATCGAATCGGTAGGATAAAGAAAATGAAAGTGTTAATTCCCTCCTAGACTCCGGCTGTCAATCATACCATCGTCCAGTTTCAGTTTGAATGATACCCTGATGCTCCCTCCCAACCCAGTATTTATTTATATAATGAAAATATATGCAATGGATAAATGAAATATATCAGAACATTAAAATATGACGTAATGAAATACATTTATATGGATAATATAGTTGCTACTGCAATGAAGAAGTATTTTACATACAAATGTTAAGGGTATCTTATAGTTCAAAAAAATCTTTGTGGAATTTCAAACAATTTTGAAGATAGTTTCAAGATAATTCCTAAGAGAACTCGTGGGAATTTCAAGGAGTTTCCAGGACGGTTTGGCACGAAATTTTGAGTATATTTTCAACGAAAATCCATGAAGAAAGAGCTGTCGCACGGCACGTTTTTGAGTAAAAACGCAATTGTCCCCTGCTACAGGTTCTCTCGGGGGCATTCTAGTGGTTCCGAGAGCGGCCAATGTGGTAAATGATTCACTTTAAGCGAAGACTACAAATCAAGAAGACTGGCAACTCTGCCAAACATCAGGCGACAGTAGCGGCACACATAGGTTGGAATAAATAGCTGTCAATTATTGGTTTTGTTATGATTGCCGTAAAAAGTGAAACGTTTCATTCTTTGTTTTATGCTGACAACGAGTAAAATTCCAGCTGAAATTGAACAGATGGGTAATTAAATTTGTTTTGAAAATTAAAACTATGGCAATGATGCCATTCACAATGATGGTGGGACCTTCCTTGATCATTAGTTTGCTATCTCAGAATTATCTTCCACTTTTCCTAAGCCCTTTAGTGATGCATGTATGGGCATTCGTATGGTGCATTAGTAAAATGCATGCCCGTGGGGGGGAGGGTGTTAAGTTGTGACGCTCGGCAACTTGGCACAGTACCCATTTGAATGTCACTGGCCAATCGGACACTGTTGTAATCATTCTCTGGAAGTCGGTCGATTCCAAGAATTGTTAAAGCATACAGAGGATATCACTATCCGGTGGTTGCATGTTCTGACACCATTTAAAATAGAAATATATTCTTTATCAAAACGTACCGTTTGGGATTGTAGGCCTTCAACCTTTCATTTCCATTTTCTACACCATTAGATCCAGCTACGCCTTCCGTTGGATCGTGATGTAGATACCGAATCTTTCTTCTTTTTGAATCCTTGAATTTTCAACAGCTTCCGAATGACGGTAGTTCACTCCATGGTGGCGGAAGCCGCCAATTCCTTATAATTGATTGTTTCCAACAGGCAAAATTAACAATATTTCGGTTCCTCGTTCACAAGTAAAAGCTACTTTCACTAGGTATCGATCCGAGTTTCAATGCTCTACTTGATCCACCATGACAAGTTTTTCGGTTTGGAGTTGTAAAACCACCGGCTTGCTGGGATTAGGATACAAATTGCTGTGAAATTTTGTAGAGCAAAACAAAAACAGCAGCGAGTACCGTGTTATGATTATTCGTTTCGGTGACATAAGGCCACACACACACACACACACACACACACACACACACACACACACACACACACACACACACACACACACACACACACACAACACACACACACACACACATTCACACGCACACTCACACTCACACTCACACTCACACTCACACTCACTCACACACACACACACACACACACACACACACACACACACACACACACACACACACACACACACACACACACACACACACACACACACACACACATACACACACACACACACACAGTCACTGTTAATGAGCAGTCTCACTAACACTTGTGCTTCAAAGTTCCACCTTTGATTGACAGAGGCGCTGTTATCAGTGACGTTTGACATTTGTGTGGGAGAAGGGAACAGTTGCCAGTCTTCTTGATTTGTAGTCTTCGCTTTAAGTCTATAGAAAGAATATTCATGAAAATCCATGAAGAAAGAGCTGTCGCACGGCACGTTTTTGAGTTAAAACGAACTTGTCCCCTGCTACAGGTTCTCTCGGGGGCTGATTCGAGAGCTGCCAATGTGGTCACTGATCCATTAGAAGTTTAATGAATGCCTATTCATGAAATACCATGAAGAATGAGCTGTGATTCTAAGAGCGGCCAATGTGGTCAATGATGAAAGTCTATTGACGAGAAACCATGAAGAAAGAGCTGTCGCACGGCATGTTTTGGTGTAAAAATGCAATTGTCCCCTGCTCCAGGTTCTCCCGGGGGCATACTGGATGTTCCGAGAGTGGCCAATGTGGTCAATGATGCATTTAAAGTTTATCGAAAGTCTATTCAGAATCCTCCACCAGAACCGATTCCAGGGAAATGGCCATATCTCAGTTGATTATAATCCGATTTTAGTTCTTGGCATATGATTCGCTTAAGAAATGGTTCTTCTTTCGTTGTATTCACTAAAAATATATATATTTAAACAGCATCATATATAAAATTTCACCAAAAATTTAGCAAGTTAGACAAGCCTTACGGAAACCCGGAATATCTCCGGTATCAGGTGATCGGGATTATTTTCGTGGCTACACCGTAGAACAATACTAGTTTGTCAGTCCAATGTTTTTGGAAGATTTAAAATCGGATCATATTTGACGAAGTTACAACACTCCAAAGTTGACCAAAAATTTGCCTATCCTAGTTATTTTGAGTAACTAATATAATAAACTTTATTCGTTCTAAAGGGTGTCCACGATGAAATTGCCACACTATGAAATTGCTCTAACTTTTTAACCGTTGGGTAGAATTTAATGAAAATTTGGGTGGATTTAGTTCATAGTGCATTATTTACATCCTGCAAGTTTTAAAGGCCTGTGATCAAAACTCGCGGAAATGGAGTCGAAAGAACAGCTCGTGCGTGATAAAATCTTGCGCATTCATCACGAGAACAAGGATCTCTCGCATCGTGCCATCGCTAAAACGTTGGGAATCGCGAATTCCACGGTGTCGCGAGTGATTAAGCGGTTCGAGGAACGGTTGACCACCAATCGGAAGCCCAGAAGTGAAGGAAAAAGTATTCCGTACAACACCAAAAATCACAACCGCGTAGTTGGGGCCTTCAACCGAAATCCGAACGCCTCCGTTAGGGATGTGGCTAAGAAGCTGCACCTAAGCCGAAGTTTTGTCCAGAAGGCCAAAACTAAGGCTGGGCTTCGAACGTTCAAGGTACAAAAGGCCCCTAATCGCGACGAGAAGCAGAACAAGTCCGCCAAAACCCGTGCCAGGAAGTTGTACCTCAACATGCTGACGAAAGTTGAATGCTGCATCATGGACGACGAAACATATGTGAAGGCCGACTTCAAACAGATCCCCGGCAACCTGTTTTTCACGGCCAAGGATAAGTTCAGCGTTCCGGAGCATGTCCGCACTCAGAAGATGTCCAAATTTGCGAAGAAATTCCTGGTTTGGCAAGCCATCTGCACGTGCGGGAGGCGGAGTGCACCTTTCGTGACCCAGGACACGATGAACGGACAGGTGTACATAAAAGAGTGCCTCCAGAAGCGGCTGCTTCCTCTCCTGAAGGCCCACAACGTCCCAACAATCTTCTGGCCGGATTTGGCCTCATGCCACTACTCCAAGGACGTGCTGAAGTGGTATGCGGACAATAAGGTCAATTTCGTGCCGAAAATGTTCAACCCTCCCAACACTCCGGAGCTCCGCCCCATCGAGAAGTACTGGGCGATTATGAAGCAGCACCTTCTTAAACGACCTAAGGTAGTGAAGACAGTCGAGGAACTGAAGAAAGTATGGGTTTACATGCAAAAAACGGTTGATTCACAGGTTGTGCAGAATCTTATGGCCGGGGTTAAGGCCAAGGTGCGGGCATTTGCGTATGGACTGTAAATAAAATACGAGTAAAATGGTTAAATGAAGTTTAATAGTTATTTCTCAATCCCTGAAAATTTGATGGCAATCGGATGAAAACTCGAATTTTGCGAATCAATTTTGTGTGTGGCAATTTCATCGTGGACACCCTTTATGATACCTTACCCGTTTATACAACACCCTGATGTGGCATACATCAAATAAGGGCCCGCCGCATTAAATCAAATAACTGGCCACAGTGAAAAATAATAAAAAAAAATGCTTAGAGTTTAAAATATTTTGAATTTTTCAACAAAGTTAGAACTTTTGCCCCACCTTACTCTATACAGTTCAGAGGGAAAAGTACTGAACCCGGGAATTTCAACCATACTTCTCCATCATTGTGACTTCAGTGATGGAATTGCAATGTCAACTTGATTCATAGCACCTTTTAAAATTTTGTTCACATAATGATACATACTTGAAAACTTTCAATTGATTGAAATTGGCATCTTCATCTTTGAAAGTGTCACATGTGTTAACCCAGGGCCGCATTATGGAAGTTGAAAGGAAGTGTTTACCGTATGGAAAAGTCGTTTCCACTTGCGTAACTATGGGCCACAGGTCTCTGCTTGTATGATACAGTTCATCGGGTTAACTATTTTAACCATAAAACTATCAAGATTAGGCAGATATTTCATTTCTGGACCATGAACCACCTTCGTGGTATGCTGCTGGTGGTGTCATAAGTAAAAATTGAAGTGTAAACTCTTTGCTAATCCTACTTCTAATATTTTATTGATATCGCGGGACAGACAATCTAAAAAAAAAGACTAACCCAAACAAATCAGAGCAGAAGGAAAATACGGAATAATTACTATTTTCATATTTTTTGTTTTGATCTCAACATTCTGCTCTCGTGTAACATTTAAATTTTATTTTTTCTCTCTCTCTTGTTTTCTCAATACCTTCATACTCTCACGCGATAAAAGCGCTATTATTTGAACTGTTTCATTTTCTGTTTTGTTTTGATTTGGAGTGGGTCTTTTTAAGGAAGGTGGTGTGCTGCTCATTTTGCTTTCAATATTATTATGTTGTCTCCGCGATGCCTACGAGCAGCAATGAATGGCATACAATGAAAACTAACCGAGAGAGTGAGAGATCATAGAAGCGCGTGACCTCGAACCGTGCCGAGTCGAGTCGGTGCCATTAGCCTAGCCTGTCTGAATGTGTGCGAAACAGAGTGATGTTGGGCTTGGGATTGGGAGAGACATGGTCGTCACACAGTCACACGGAGAACCCAGCAAAACCGACGGTACATGTGTGAATGTGAGCATTTATTGAGCATCACCGAACCACCTGATGAATGTGTGTATTGGACGGATGGCAATGGGAATGACTGGAATAAAACTTTGAGCGAAGGAAAAAACGTCCGACTGATGGGAAGTAGCAAAGGCAAACAAAAAACATGAGCATTTGCGGAACGGAACGGAGCAGCGATGTTGGATTGGAGGTGGCTGGATCGCAACATGTGGTTGACTAGGCGATCGTCAGAAGCACAACACGCACTGGTTAGAGAGAAGTACTAGGCCATCGTCGTCTGCCACGTGTTTGCGCATGTGTGTGTGTGCATCAGTAGCTAGTAACAATCAACACTACTGACATACAAATTGTTCCGTGCGTACGCACGTACGAGAGATGCATATATGATTATTATTTTATAGTTTGTTTTCATTATTTCTATTCTTCTCAGCCGAATTCGGTCAGCTATTTCCTTTGGCGATTTAAAACGTTCCATTCTTGTTGAGCGAAGAACTGGTATGGCAGGCTCTCAGCACCGTCTTATGAATGACCTTCGAGCGGAAAATATGTACAGCGAGGCACAAATTATCAGAACGAAAGTGAATTTCCCCTGAATTTACAATTTACAGGATCAGTGCATTGTCCAAAAGGTTGATGAACTACCCAAGGATGCAGTTGGATCTTAGCTAACTATAAACACGCATCGGAATCGAAATGAAATATGTTTCCAGGAAGTATGTAGGAAGATTCACCTTCCAGAAATCTTCGCTACTCGCGACAACGGACAGCTTTCAATATCCCCTCGAAAGAGAAGCGCAAAACATCTCGGGCTAGCAAATTCCTTTCCGATGTGCTAATTCCCCCACCCTTCTGGCAGCAAGAAAAATGAGGCAACCGTGTGCTGGATCGGACAGAGACCGGACACTCCTCTTCCCTCTCGCCTTCTTCCACATACACACTTGTGTCTGCCTACCCTCGCTGCGATCCATGGATGTAGGTACGCTGTAGTCAGTCGCAACCGCTTGGATCCATCTTTGGATATGCGCAGTTTCGTCAGCGAAACCGGGCAGCGATGGTGACCACCAGACCAGCATTCAGGCAACCAACCAATGGCACACATTGCTGCGGGTGCAGCAGTACGCCAAAATACCACAGACATGTATGTGTCGTCGACGACGTCCACTCTTGGTGTCCAACTGACCGACGACGAAGACCCATCACGCGGCGCACGTGAGTGTGTAAACCGCGTTGTCAGGGACACACCGTCATCGTCGTCTTTTCTGAGAGTGAATGCGCGTTTTTTGGAAGATTCGAGACTGTTAGACATTGTCCTTGGGAAATAAGTCCCAGTCCCAAAATTGAGACAATACCAGTAGTTTATAACTCCATCCTTCAACCATACAACACGGCGATGGAGACGCATGGTAGCTATTATGTTAAATACAATTTCAGTACCCAACACCAGAGAATTGATCCCAACCCCAGGGGAGCTGGCAGAGCAGTAAAACAACGTCAATATGCGTTTTTTGCATCGGACTTACCTCCTCCATCCATGTCCACATAGTTGATGCCGTACCCTCGTTCATCCTCGAGCCTTTCCTGTAAGGTAGCAGCTGCCAGTTTGGCGCTGCTGGTATTGTTGTTATTATTGTTGCTGCTGATGTGGTTGTTGTTGTTGTTGTTGTTGCTGCTGTTGTTGTTGTTATTATTGGTAGTGGTGGTGGTTGTGTTTGGTTTTTGCTTTAGCGAGGCCAACAACGATCGCTGTGGATTCGGTTGAACCTGTTGTTGTTGATGTTGGTGTCGTTGCTGGAGCTGTAGGGCAGCAGCAAATGCCTTCCGCTGTTGTTCTTTCAGCTGCTGCCGCTGGATCAGTCCGGCCAGTACGCCACTAACTGCGGCGGCATGGTTGTTGTTGGTGGCGGTGCCGAGGGCGGGAGGGAGTGATCTTCGCTGCTTGGCAACTGGCTGCTGCGCTGAAGGCTGCGACAGCAGCGGTCGCTTCGTTGACATTGGCATGACGAGTGAATCATTGTCGTTGTTGGTGTTGGGTGGCGAATTATTACCGCTACCACCACCACCAGCAAACCCAATTCCGCTGATGGCACTAATGCCACTGCCGCCTATGCTGTAGCGATTCTTTGGTTCTTTACTGGCTGGATACAGTGTCGGCACCGAACCTTTTTTCAACCTATCCGTGTCCGTGAGGCAGTCACCAGGTAGCAAAACCGAGGACCAAGTTTAGTTGGTTGTGTCCGACAGACAGACAGCGAGCCGAACCGAGTTAAACGAAACCCAAGGAGAGAAGGGAAGAGAATAAGAAGAAGAAAATCGATTACATACCAAGCTATTTTTGGGTTTCTCCTTGATTGCCTCGCGTCGCATGCACCCAGCTAGCGCGCTTGAGACGGTGCACCGGTGGTGATTTTTTCTCTCTCGGGGGTTACCAGCTCTGAGGGTGGTTCACGGAAATCGCCCCCGAACCGGTATCTCTTGATTGGCTGCTTTTCGTCGCCAGCGTGATCGCTAAGGTCTGGTAACCCTCCGAGTGAATTAAAACACCGAGTCGTTGTGCACCGTCGCCCGATTCCAATAGCAAACCCATCGCCACGGATCGCGGCCATCGACTCAAAAAGTAACACAGTCTCACACAAACTTACCCTTGACTGAAGAGATTGGGATTGTTGAAGTCGCTCGGTTGAAAGTGATCGGAACAGATTCGAGAACTCTTGTACAGGTACTCGGGGCCATTTTCGTCGTACTTTTTCCACAGTTCGGGCCGGTTGCAGAAATCGACCCACTGCTTGCACCTGGAGGGTTGGCGAAAAGGGGAGAAAGAAGAAGAAATAAATTAGGGTTCGATTTTCGAAGGATCGGTCGGGGCGTATTGGAGTTGGATTTGGAGTTTTTTTTTGCGCGAAAGGATTTTGTCCTTGGGTGATTATTTGAAAGGCATACGAAGGGGGCCATTTTTATGAAACGAATTATGTCATATAAATATTAAAATCTAGGAACAGCGGAATTCCATTTTAGAAATGGTATGCTCAAAACAATACTAATTTAAGAAGATGAAGAAAAGGTTTCCATCGTAGTCGTTGTAAATTTGCAACATATGATCCTGTTTTGCCTCGCAATTTCTAGCAATTGCGTAAAATAATAATCACTGCAATTAACACATTGATCTTTTGCGATCTCTTCGTGTCCTTTGTTTAGTACATGTCGTAGTATTTCATTACCATTCCTCACGGCCATGTTAAGACATGCCAAGCTATTTTCAGCTCACAGATCCATGAAAGAATCTATTTTGTAATACGACAAAAATGACAAGAAACGGTTCTATACCCAAATTATTAACGAAAGAGAAAGTCGATCGATCAAAGTTACTTAGGACATAATGCAATATTCAGCTTGATTTGGTGTATTAATTTTTATTTGAGCCTGTTGATTTTGACAAACAAATGGATAAAGGTACTAGTTGACCTATCTTGCCCCACCTTACTCTACATTTACACAGTATCACATGATAGGATATTGTATCCCTCAGCAAATTTGATTGAAACATTAAAACGTGAAAATAGGGTAGATAGGGGCAATATTGTGCCCCTAAGAAAAACACATCATAACACATGAAGGGAATTTTCCTTTAATGCTACCGATGTTACTGTCCTTTTGAATAATCGTGGTCAAGTGGTCAAGTTCCGTGTCCTGTTCCTTTTTAGTCGCTGTGTTTAATTTTAGTACCGTCATTCGTCCATTTCCGTGTCCTTGTACGTGCTTTGCTTGGTTCAATATCTTCGTTCATCCGTGTCCGAGTCAGTAATTGTTGCCGAGGAATAGTTTTGAGTCCGAATCATTTTCCGTTGTCGTTGCTTGGGTGTTCAAATTTGGTTAATCAGACCTGCCTCCTGAATGAAGCAGAATAGTGCAGCGATGCTGGATGGGTCATCCCTCAGGGTATCCCTGATGCTACTTGAGATCCCGTAAAGGGAACGGGATCCGTGGTACTGGGGGCATTCGCATAAGAAATGCTTCACTGTAAGACGCGACACGAGATAGAATGACTTGAAGTCGATGTTCAGGTGGATCCTCCCATTTCCTGGTATCCCCTTTTACCTTCCGGATAAATAAGTCTCCATATAGTGATTGTGATCCACCGCTTTATGTCCTGGTTAATGTTACATTTCCATTATTATCTTAGACATGTCATTGAATTTTGATACGGTTTTCATGGAGATGCATATTAGAAGCATTTTCAACAAGTTTGTAAAAAAAATAGAAAATCGCCCCGTATGGTCTTCTTGCCCCCATCCCCCAAACTGAAAAGTGTCGTATTTAGCCGCCTCCACCATGGTCTTGCTTTATAGATGTTTCTTTACCTGCTGCAGTTGTGAAATATTTAATTTTGACAATATTTGGGCAACTTGAATAAAACCGAAGACAACATATCAATAAGACTGGCAACTCTTCCATTTCCTCGTACGACCGCTATGATAAGGGTACAATCGCGTCATCTACCGCTCCAAGGTAAATGCTTCGAGTGAATTTGATATGATGTCTTCGATAAAACTTATAGTAGAGCAATGTCAGTCAAATTGAGAAATCTCACATATGCTTCGTTTCGATTTGGATGTTCACTAGCACAATAAGTTAATTTTCATTTTGAAATTACTGTTTTTCCCTTGTTTTCTCGTAAAGTTTTTCAGTAAAAACGAAAATATTCAATGCTGTTTTTTAACGTAACGAAGTGCAAATTTGCGATAATATTTGTGGGTAAATTATCTTCAATATCAAAACTACATTTTTCAAAGCTGAATGGCTCGCTTGATATATTAAAAAAAAAACATTGATTTTTACCATGGTTTGATCCATTATACTGCCGTTCTTAGCATAACAGTCCTATGTAGATAGGAAATCCAAAGGACATGGGACTGTTATGCGAATGGCGGCAGTATATACATTTCGCAGTTATCCCACAATTATGAATTTGTCAACCCAGCGTGTAAGTCAACTAAAAGTAATGCTCAAATGTGGAGTGATTGTATGAAATATATCAAGTATCAAGTTACAGATTTCCCAAACAACCTACGAACTCAACCTCTCACTCTCCATAACTCAGTCCAACAGCGTTCGATGTCGTGACCATACAAATAATCCAGACTCAGTTAGGCCAGTTAGGCTTGAGGCCTCTTATGCTTAGAAAAGTGATGCAATTTGATTTTTCCTAGTATCTCTATAATATCATTTACTTTTGGTTAACCAATATTGTTACGGTCACTAGGCCGAACGCTACCGAGCCGAATGGGTCATCATACCGAACTGCAAAGAGTGAGAGCGATACTGAACAAAGAAACTTTAATTTGATACAAATGGATTCTAGGGAAAATCGTTGAAAATTTCGGAGCAAGAAAATGTATGAAAACTTCGAAGTCTGTACAAACAGAAATTAGAAAAAATATATTGGTTATATAAGAAAATTTCCAGCATTCTGAAGCTTCGAGATATATTAGGAGCATTAGACTATAGATTTGTAATTTATACAAACTTTAAGATCTTAGATTTAGAAAGTAAAAAAGAATTGAATCTATGGTTTACATGGGATTGAAAAAAAAAACACTCAAAATGCGGAATATAAATTTGGTCCTGGAAAGTTTTCAAGGCTCTGTAAGTTGGAAGAATGTTTAGGGTTTTAGCTATTTAAAAAAAAATCTATAGAATTCTGAGGAGATTACCTATGGACTTCTTAGGAGAATTTAAAAGGAATTGAACTGTTAATTCAAAATAAATGCTGAAAATAATAACTACAACATTCTGGGAAACATCTTAACAGAGTTCTGACAAGGGTTCCAAGATAATGCCATAATGAATTCTGAGATGAGCAAAAAGAAACTTCAGACTACAAAATGGTGAGTTCACAACCTTGATACCTAGCTCCAGTCATCACAAGTCCATAAACACGCCACGAGTGATATGATTTCAATCTACTTGGCTGAAACATGGACACAGCTGGGTGGCCGACAACAGTAAAGTGAGGAGGTGTGACGCGAACACTGGCGTGGTAAGCATAGCACGATGGTAGAGGAAATTCTTCGCCAACCCGAGCACCTGTCCACCGCGGAGCACCTCCGCACCGGCTCAAACAGTGTCTGGCATCCATCGGGTGAATAAGAAACGCTCTTCCCCGGAAGCTACGCTTAAGATGGCAACCCCATCGAGACCTTAGGCCCACCACCTACTGTCTCCGAAATTTATAAATTGTTACAGAAACTAACAAAGAAAGACTACGAAAGGCTACGAAGTTCTGAATTAGATCCCTAAGTAATTTTTATAATAATTCGGAGGGAGTTGTGAAAAGAACAAGAATAGGAAGTTTATTTTAAGAATAATTCCATGAATATTTTGGTAAGAATTCCAAGATAATTATTATATACGTTAACACAGTAAACCATGAAAATGTCAAGTCATTTGGTATAATTACTAGATACAAATTTACAGCTGTTTATGTGTGTCCCATTTTTATAGAATACACCCTTTACTAGGATTCCTGAGGAGATTTTTGAAAAATATTTTAAGAATGTTTTCAAACGAATTGATTTCTCAGGATAACGGAGGCGAACCAGCCTCAGGCTGAAAGCCTCCCTAATAAAGAAAACTTAACTTAACTTCTCAGGATAATATTAGAGAAATTCTATGGACGATTCTTAGGGGAGTTTCAAGGGAATTCCGAAGAGAAAACATATGCGACCATATATTAAGGTTCATTGATTTTCCCCGGTTCTCCCGTCGAATTCCGGGTTTACTTTTCAAATTCTTGGTTGTTTCCTGGTTCGCTGGAAACCCTACGACTATTATGGACCATCCATAAATGACGTAGCTTATTTTTAACCAATTTTACACTCCTTCCTCCCTCGTAGCGTATTTGGCTGTACCTAATTCATGGCCGGTCACAACTTCTGAGATACCCCACTCTTCCCTCAAATGTGACGTCATTTATGCATGCTCCATTAAGGAAAGTTTACAGTTTTCCTGGTCAATAATTTAAAAAATCCTGGTTTTACAAATCATGCTTTTAGAAAACAATTGTGTTTTCTTAATAATTAATTTTAAAGTTTCCTTTAGGTGTTCTTCTTTGCATTACACTTTGCAATTGCACAAGCCAAATAATAAAATAAAAAATCTCTTCGATTTAGCCTAGTTATACAGGATTTAAGCAACACCCAAGTATAGGAAACCTGTTTAAAATACTGAACTGCTGAGGCAAGAACAATGTAAATACACCTAGGTAGCTAAGACGAACCAGCCGATGGCTGAAACCCTTGTAAATAATAAAAAAAAAACACTTAGATATAGATCATAATTATTGTGATTGGTAAGTTACTTTCGTAGTTGGATCACCTAGGTTAAAACATGATTGCAAATTTATTTGAATTTGGAGCCAACTTTGTTATATAATTTAATTTAAGCTCAATTTAATTCAAGCTCAATAACATGATTTAAAAATAAGCTTTTTTTAATATTTTTAAAGGAAACCACTGAAATATATTGAGTTTCCATAAATTTGGTTTGATTGTATTTAAACAGATTTATGTATAAATTAAACATTTAAAATCTTGCCGTTAAGCCAATTTTGAAATACAATGAGGACATTTATGGACCACTAAGGGCATTTAAGTAGAATAAGACGGTATTAAAACTTTATCTCTTACCTTAAATTGTAAGATTTATTGTTGTTACTGTTTCTATGAAAGTTGTGAAAACCATTGCAAAATATTGTGTTCTGGAAGAAAAGCAATTGAACTGATTTTGAGTTCAT